TTTAGGTCTCCCAGGAGGTATGTAGACCACACTTTGAGAAACATTGTTCTAGAATACAGCCTTTAGTAGGATTGAAACGAATGGAGTATAAAGAACAAGAAGAGGCAATCAGAAGAAAGAAAGGTATAGTCCAGGTTTACAGGAAGACACTGTTACATAAAAGAGCCATTTAAAAGAAATTATTTTATTTTATAGTTATAGGGTACAAGTAAGGATTTACTACATAAGTGAGTGGCATGCAGGTAAAGTTTAGGCTTCTAGTTGGCCCTCTCCCCCATGATAGTGGACCAGGTACCAAGTGTGTTGCCACATACCCTAGTCCCTCATCTATCCCACCCTCCCTCCCCTAGCTGTGCTCAGTGTCTGACGATCCCTCCCTTGTGCTAGTGTGACCAGTGATCAGGGCCTGCATATAAGTGCAAACATGAGATATTCATTTATTTATTTCTGTGATAGTTCACTTAGTATGATGGTCTCCAGGTGCATCCTTACTGCTGTGAAGGCCATGATCTTGTTCTTCTCTATGGCTGTATAATATTCCATTGTGTATATGTACCACATTTTCTTTATCCAGTACACTTTCAATTGGCATCTGGGTTGGTTTCATATTTTTGCTATTGTGCAATGTGCTACAATGAAGATGCTTGTTCTGATGTCTTTTTAGTAGAGTGATTTATGTTTCTCTGGGTATATTCCAGAAAAGTGATTGCTGGATCATATGGAAGCTCAATTTTTAGTTCTTTGAGAAACAGTCACACACTTTCCACAGAAACTGAACTACCTTACATCTCTACCAACAATGTAGAAGTTTTTTATTTTCTCCACAGCCATGCCAGCACTTTTTGTTTCTTGACTTATTAATGATAGTCATCCTTACTGGTGTTAGGTGGTATCTCATTGTAGTTTTGATTTGCATTTCTGATTAGTGAAGCCAAACATTTTTTCATGTGTTTGTTGGCTGCTTATATGTCATCCTTTGAAAAGTGTTTGTTCATGTCCTTTGCCCACTTTGTAATGAGGTTTTTTTTTTTCTTTTCCAATTAGTTTGGGTTCCTTGTAGATCCCAGATGTTAGGTCTTGCAAATATAGCTTGCAAATATTTTTTTTTCCCACTCTGTGGGTTGTCTCTTTACTCTCTTGATGGTTTCTTTTGCTGTGCAAAAACTTTACAGTTTGATGAGGTCCCAACTGTCTATCTTAGCTTATTTCACATTTGCTTTTGAGAACCTGGCCATGAATTCATTGCTTACTCCAATGTCTGGCAGGGTATTCCCTATATTTTCTTCAAAGATTTGTACAGTTTGAAGTTTTACATTTAAGTATTTGGTCCATTTTGAGTTAACTTTTTTTATATGGTGATAGGTAGGGTTCCTTCTTTCTTCTACATGTGGCTAGCCAATTTTCCCAGCACCATTTGCTAAATATGGCTTCCTTTTCCCAATGTTTGTTATTGATGGCTTTGTTGAAAATTAGTTGGTTGAAGGACCATGGTTTTATTTCTGGATTCTCTGTCTTGTTCCTTTGGTCTGTGTGTTTATTCCTGTATCAATACCATGCTGTCTTGGTTACTGTAGCCTTGTAATAAAGTTTACAGTTTGGAAGTATAATGCCTCCGGTTTTGTTCCCTTTGCTGAGGATTGCTTTAGCTATTCATGTTAAAAGAGCCCCCCCCCTTTTTTTCCTAACTCTTCTAACACTCAGTAGTACAATATGGCGTTACTAGAAGTCATCATTCACAGTCTAGCAAAGTAATTGTTTATTTGTTCATAACTTGATCTGTTGTTTTCAGGTATTATGGGTGAACTTTCCTAGCCCAAGAAAAAATCATACCTGTACCATCATCCCACAATCAATGACCAAAGTACTTGCATGGCTTCAAACTAGTATATCTAAAACTATATCAATACTGATGGGTTTTTTTCAAGGAAAACTGTCCAGAAGAGAAATGAGTTACTCCAATACATTTTTTCTCTCAATTACATGGACTTTTATATATTCCAATAAGAATAATGAATACCTATTGTACTGGAAGATCACACATTTTGAAATGCTGATTAAAAAGAATCAACTTTATGAAATTATAAGATATAAGCATATATCTGAAACTATGACTTGATAGTTGATCAACTATTTAAGAGCACAAATATTCAGTAATTTCAAAAATTCATTTTAAGTCCTATAGTTGAAGGCTTTACTATCACAAAAGCAAATATAGTATGTTTTTCATAGTTTACGAATGTTAAAATGCATGCTATGTATAAATATTATTTGGCACATGATACATAAAAAAGGCTAGTCACACAATTTCAAACATGTTCTCATCTGTTTTATATATGTGTTTTAAAATAATTAATGTAAGCTATGTTAGATATATTTCAATGCAAACATTTGTAATCGTCAATAGCATTATATTTGGTATGCTTAGTACAGAGTTGTATATGCATCCTTTATGATAATACTGCATGCTTCCTTAAACCACAATCTTAAGTTGACTTTAGTACAGTTACTTCACCCCCATTAAATAGACTATAATGATATTCAATGTTACAAGGCTTTATATGAGCTAAAATCGATTTATTGTACTTTAACAATGGAACTTTTGCAGAAAAAACTTAAATAAGACTTAGAATTGCTCCTACACTTATCTGATTCACAGCCTTGGCCAAATTCCTGAATAGGTTCAGCATATAGCAAGTCACACCCACACAATGCCTACTCAAATGAGGCAATACTGACAAGCATGTTCACATTCTAGGAAGAAAAGAAAAAGTTACCTCCTTAATATTTATTTGGTTGATGAACTGTATAAAGATCACTATTCTGTATTTTAATACTAGGAATTTTAAAAAGGTTTCAATGATATCCCGGTTAAACCAAAATTTCTACACAAACAAAACTGAGTGATCCCTGAATTTAATGACTACATTGACAACTTGTCAGTATATTGCTATATTTAACATGAAGATGTTATTAAAGACATTTCATTATGTTATACATAATGAAATAGGGTCTTCACTTCATGAAGATTCACGAGAGAAATTTCTCTGGTCTGTTTGATCAGCTTCCACCTGAAAAATACTGTCAATAATTATACACTTGAATATATCAGCTTCTTTATAATGGCTGCCAAAAAACTTAAGTCTTCATTTTTGGCACACTAAAAGACTTACAGTCTTCATGTCATGCCTTTGTGAAAAGCAGAGTGTACTTCGGTTTCATCTAATCTTTCCTGCTTTGATTTTTCTTTGTTTCCATTGTCTTCACTACTTAACTTTAATTTTATTTAGTATTCATCTATGAAAGCCTTAAATCCTTTTTTGAAAAAAGGCTGGAGAAAAACAAAAACATATTTGAATAAATACATAATTAAGTGAACAAAACTAATTTTATGACTTGAAATGTTTGCTTGGTGAGATTTTATGTAAGTCAAATATTTATAAATTTGGAATATAAAAGAACTTCATCTCTATTCTTCTAAAATTAACAACATAAAAATAACTATATAGTGCAGAATAGTTAAAAAGAATAAAGAAACTTTTAAAACAGTTGTATATAATGTACATGCCTACTCTATAGGTCAGTCAGGCAGACCTGTAGAGTACACTGTAGCGTTACACTCCCCACCACCACCACCAATCTATTAATAATTCCTTCTAGTTTCTCTCTCCCTAGCACACTGTTCAAGTCCTATCTCTTTGTCTTATATATCCCCAATACCAATGCACTGCCAAGCCATAATTCATTCTGGTGTGTCCCGAAAATGTTTCCCTATATGTCACATGTTATATTCTATACTGCATAGATCTTAGGCTACTTTAAGACAATTAATGTCTATTTTACATTCACTAATATTGCTTGTACAACTGTCATGCACACATTGAGAGCTCAATGTCTTTCCTTGGGAGGCCAAAGAGGAAAGATCACTTAGGCCAAGAGTTTGAGAAGAGTCTGGGCAACATAGCAAGACTCTATCTCTAGAAAATGTTTAAAAAATTAGTCAGGAATAATGGCATGCATCAGTAGTCCCAGTCACTCAGGAAGCTAAGGCAGGAGGATCATTTGAGCCCAAGAGTTTGAGGCTGCAGTAAACTATGAATGCAACACTGCACTCCAGTCTGAGTGACAGAATGAGACCCTGTTTCAGAAAAATAAAATAAATTTCAAACGTCTCTCTTTTAAAATGTTCTAGAGTACAATAATCACTGCTCAGCTGCCTTACTTTTCCCCTTCCAAACTAAGCCTCGGTCACCCTGAAATTAGTAGCTTCCCCTTATATTTCTCCCCTAAAATTGTGGTTGCTGTTGTTTTCCTAAAGGTTCTTACTTACTTTGTGTATACAATAATTTTCATTTCTTAGATGTTAAGTATAGAAAGGTCAGGAACCAGACCTACAGACTTATTTTTCATAAGCCATATGCTTTGAAGTACTTAACAAACAACTCTAATAATGAGTATAAGGATTAGTCTTTCTCAATTTTGCTTTCTCCTTTGAAATGTGACACAATCTGTATATTACCCAGTAGCTACACTTGTTCTTCTTTACACTCCCTTGTTCTACTTTACTTAAATAGATGATAAACTCAATAATTAATACATAAATTAATGTATAAATTTTGACTTCTACAAGAGAGCTAAGAAATATACATAAAATCACTAGGAGAGAGCAAACTGTGTTCATGCCACCATGTGAACAGAAAGATATGGAATACCATTTTTTTAAATATAAAAACAAGCTACCTTGATTTAGGCAACTAATAACTAGCACACTATATTTTTCCCTAGAAAAATCAGTCAGCCCTGGAGATTAGAAACCTTGATTATTACAGAGAAATATAAAGAGGTGGGAATAAAGGTACAACAGAAATAAAAGGAAAAAATTAAAAATTACCTTTTTGTATATCCTTTGAGAAGTTTAGAAATGGCATATTTATCAAAGTATGTGTATACTTTTTTTGCTAAATATTTAGAAGAGAAACAAATGAGAAAACAATATTCATTACCTTTCCAAATGAACCCTGACCAAGAACCTTGAGCAACTCAAACTGTGCGGGGTCTGCTTTCTCATAGCCTTCCTTAACATGATGAGTAATGGGGATTTCTTTAACAATTCCTTCATCCTGTAGAAAGAAATTCAAACAATATCCAAATTCAATTCCAATCTCTTATGATCAGCTCCATTTAGAACCAGAAATTATACCATTTTTTTAAATAAAAATCAAGTTATCATACAGTTACCAACTGCTTCAATCTAGCACAAAGTCTTATGGGCTACAATCCCTACTTCCCTGTGGTCTAACACACACAGATACATCACCACCACTTTCCCTACCATAAAATTTTATGTAAACAAAAACATATAAAATAAAAATTTATACACTAGCTGTCCCTTCCAAATATGTAGTGACATAATAAAAGTATTAACAATAGTCTCAAGACTTCACTGGAGTATGACTTATGAAGTAGAAGAAAAGAAAGTCAAGATAAAACCTTGTAAATTGTGAGGCATGAAAAATATGTAATTTTTTTCTTTAATTAGTATTTCATTATATACACTTTCCAATATTTATATGATCAGCTAGGTACATCAATGAAAAAGAAACTAGCATAAACAGACAAAAATCTGCTGAGTCCAAATGAATGTTTCCAGGTCATGGCCCTACTTTTACTGAAATTTTGTATATAAATAATATAACAGATTTCCTACCACCTGGGTCAGGCAAAAGGAAAGCCACCCTGGGACTGTTCCTTCCCTTTGATGGAGGACTGCACTCAGCTGTGATGACTACACTCAAGTGAGCTGTAATTTTAGTCCCTAGACAAGCAACGGTAGCTAGAATGAAAAAAATACCTCAAACATATTACATATGACAAAATCACACAGCTGGAAGGGATATCTTATCCAACCCTCTCACTGTAAAAAGAAGAAAACTGAAACCCACAGAGTTTAAGTTCATATAACTAGTTAATCATAATGTCTAGAAATTCTGGTAGCTTTCCATTAAATTTTGGTATGGATGGCAAGGATGTTCTCAACCAAATCACCCTTCAATTAATTGATAAACAATAGTGATGATGGCCAAAGTGAATAAGGGTCTGGTCTCAAATGAACTATGCACCATGGCAGCTAAAATAACTTCCATATCACATAGGTAGTCAGACATTCATTCTCTCAAGGGAGGCATCTAGGCAGAGTAATTTCAGTTTTAGGTATTAGAAATCACTACTAAATCAATCAATAAATAAAGAATAATCAACTCAAAGTATCTGAGTACATATTTCTTATACATCAAAATAGTATTTTACCAGACCCTTTTAAACAATAATTCATAAACGTTTTCAAACATAAAAATTAAATTAAATTAAAATATTTCTGCTACAAGAGTGAATTTCCACATTTGAAAGAGGCCCTTTTTTAAAAGTCAAAAACCTTTTTGTAATACAATATATATGGTTTGAAGCTGATATTTGGGGATTATATTAAAGTATGACATATCTGTATGTACTTTTGCAATATGTGTATTCCAAAAGCAATATCAGATTATATACTTTTATTAATACGGTGGTTAACTGAGTTTTCACCACATATTATAAATCTATTCCTGGTCTTCAAAGTATAGAACATAGGCAAAACATGTTTTAGTAAGATTTGTCCAGTGGAAAGAATACTAGATGAAGAGTCAATAAACTTGAAGTCTTCCTCCTAACTCTGTCATACAAAGGCTAAGCAGCCTTGACTAAATCGCAAACCATTCTCTCCACAGACAGACTATAAATAAAATATTTTCCAGATTATGCATGGGATATTATTATTTGCATTGTATTCAAAACAAACAAAAGACACAGTGGCGTCAGAATCAAAATTTTTTTAAATGCTGATATTAACATAATGCTTGGGCATTTGTCTTTTTTATTAAAAACATATGTTCCTATGCAAATAATCACTACACATCACTAAATTATGACTTGTTCGCCTTTAAACAGATATTAGTTTACAATGTCCTGAGTGTGCAATAATAATCACCTGTATAAGAAACTTATTTACTACACTTGTTTGGGTCCCATCCTCAGAGATTGTGGTTCAGTAGAACCACAGGGAGAGCCCAGGCATGTGTATATTTTAGACTCCCTAGTTGGTTCTAATACATTTTGGCCAGGATTAAAAAACACTATTTAGGTGCTCCTAAGATTTATAGATAGTTAAACAGCTGTGCAGAAATACAAATGTAATATATATACACACACATGTACATACACGTATGCATGCACATATATGCATACATATGTATATATGTGCATATATATATACACACTCACTACAAAAGTGTTTCATCATTTGTATGCTAATATCTCTTTAGTGTCAAAATATCTGATACCTTCCTGTGTCACCTTTTCCAATATTGGTCTTTCTTACTTTATCTGTTCCCCACCCTATTCTTACTTATTATCTAACATTTCTCAGCCTTCTCAAGGCTATATGTACTGATGTGTACTGTTATAATCCTCTTTTTTGTCATCTGATACCCTCCCTCCACCTCACTTTCTTCGGGGACTTCATCCTTCCAAAAGCTTGAGAGTAGCAGCAATTTAGCTTGAAATAAGGTGATAATGTACTTATCGGTGATTCATTTGTGTTTTTCTTAATAGTAAATCATCCTTGAAAAAAATTTGGCTATCCTGGTATAATATAGTTGTGTCATACCATCTTATTTTCTCATATATACACATACACATTTATGAGAAATATATATATGTTTCATATATGTAAATATATATTTATATGTAAATATAAATTTAAATTATTCATTCACTCAACAAATCAGTAACATTTATTAAGCACATATTCTGTATCAGACACTGTGCCACACACTGGGGAATAGAAATAAAGTGTGAACTTGATGACAGAATTTTGTGAGAAACATCATATCCTTTAAAGAAACAAAAAGATACAAGTATGCTATAGGCTAAATCACATCCCTTCAAAATTAATGTTGAAGTCCTAACTCTCTGCACCTCAAAATATGGCTGTATTTGGGGATAGGTACTTTAAATAAATAATTAGGGTAAAATGAGTTTATATGGGTGGGCCCTAATCCAATATGACAGGTATCCTTATAAGAGGGAATTTGAACACATGTACCCACAGAGAAAACACCATGTGAAGGCACAGGGAGAAGAGATCTACAAGCTAAGGAGAGAGGCCTCAAAAAACTAACCCTGTCAACACCTTGATCTAAAACTAGACTCCAGAATCATGGGAAAATGAATTTCTGTTGTTTAAGCCACCAAGTCTATAGTTACTTTGTCAGGGTAGTCCTATTTCACAGTACATAATCTATTAAATAAAGATTGTTGAAATAAAGTTGTTAATGTGAAATAATTTGATAACTGACAAATATAGACCACTACTCTTTCCACATCAAATTAAAAATCTGAATCTTAGGCAAGTATGACTATGCATTAGGTTACATTATTTCTTTTCAATCTCAATGTAATAGGTGATATATATGAAAACTATAAAGGCTCAGTCACAACCAAAATAGTATGCTCTGACTTCTGTAACCTGTGATCATATTTTAACTCATAGGGCCAACATGCTGTAACACTGAAAAAAACATACTGATAAAATATAATATGAACCATCAAATATACTACTGCTCCATTCATTTGACAACTTTTTTTTAGAAAGAAGAAATCACCTGTTAATTGAAAAGAGAAAGAACTGATGACCGCCTATTAGTAATATACTATAACTCAATTACAACAGTTTTATAGGACTGTGGAACTAACATTCAGAAAACAAACCAAAACAAAAAAAGAGGGATTCTTAAAGCCTAAACTTGTGAGTTTTCACGTATTAATGCAACATCTATCTATTCAAACATTTGCTTTATTTGCGAGTAGATAGCCCACTTTTGTGAAAAGTTCACCCTGCAATTCCAAGAAGCATTTAGTTGTGGGTTTGTTAAAACATATATGCAGATACCTGGAAGTACAGCTGGATGCATTCTTCTCATGCAATGAATAATCCTAGGTCATTTAAAATCATGCCAAATACCAGCATATTTAAAAGAAGACTAACAGTAATTCCAAGTATTACTGCTAAAATATAAATGCAATGTCAAAATGCCAACATGGTGAACTAAACACATCAAAATGATGTACACATTGAAAGGTAATTGCAGAATATTTAGGTTTGCAAACGTTTGCATCAGTGACTGAAAACCAAAGATGGGCGACAAACTAGTTCTTACTTGGGTAGGTCTACTTATTAGGGTCACCGCTTTAGTTCTTTAATCTACAAAATAGTAATAATACCTGTTTTGTCCATTTCAGATCCCATTATAAGGATAAACTAAGAACTTGGAAAGCCACAAACATTATAAAAATTGAAGTTACTAAACTTACTTATTAAAACACTCCTGGACTTAAGATAGAATTACATCCAGATAAACACACTGTAAATTAAAAATATCTAAGTCAAAAACGTACTTCAGAGGTGGGGTGGCAAGATGGCAACGAGGCAACCCAGCGTCTGAAGCCCTCTGCAAGGGAGGTCTGCATTGGGTCTCTGACTCTCACCCCGGGAGGCTGGGGACCCCAGCATCGCAGCCTGCTCTACAGACAGAGCTCGGCCGCTGCCATAGCAAAGACTGGACAGTTTTGACTGCATTCCAAACAGTCCTGCCGTAGCCGCCACCACAGCCCATCCCCCCACCATCGCTGCTGCTGCCGTCGCCATCGCCACTGCCGCCACGGCCTCTGGGAGGGGTAGCACATCACACCACCTGCCTGAGGAGATCCACAACAAACCGCTTCAGGGAAGATCTGCTGGGATCGCTGCCACCTATCCTGCCTCCGAGACTGTCCTGCCCGCCCGGTGTGGGGCTCCTGTTGCCTGCTCAGAGGAAGGCAGCCATCTTGTTCCTGTCTGGCCCCACCCCCTCT